GCGGGAAATCAAAAAATTAAAAAAGAGATACAACCCATACCCGCCCTGGCAACAAACAACAAAATATCCGACTCCGCAAAAAGCAACCTACTAGCTACCTATTTCTCCGACATACACAAACCCAAACCAAACACCACGCAAAAACAAGAAAACATCACCCAAACAATTCCTCAATCAAGAACACGACCCTCCTAACGATCTCCACTTAATCTCCATAATGGCTCAAACCCTTTAAGATCCCGGAATCGACTCAATACAAAATATCCTCCTACAAAATCTACCCAAAAAAGCTATCGTTCAACTGACCTACATCGCCCGAAACATACTAAAACTTCAACATTTCCCATCCGACTGGAAAACCGCAGTAATTATTCCCATACCAAAACCCAATAAAGACCTAACAATTCCATCCAGTTATAGACCCATATCACTCCTCCCCGCTTTATCAAAAATATATCACGCCCACGACAACAACACCATTCCCAATCACCAATTTGGCTTCCAACCCTTCCACTCCACCACCCACCAAATAGCCCGAATAATAAATGACTATCGAACACCTCAACTCCCGTAGCTACACCGCCCTCGTTTCCCTCGACTTAGAAAAGGCATTCGATTCCTTATGGACAGATGGCATTATTTACAAAATGATACAGTCCCGATACCCCTCATACCTAATCAAACTCACACACAACTACCTAACCTCAAGCTTCATAAAAATTAAAATAAATACAACCCTCTCCCGCAAAAAACCTATCAAATCTGGCGTCCCACAAGGCGCTATAATCTCCCCTTACTTATTTAATATCTTCACCTCAGATCTTCCCCAACTTCTTCCCTAACAAAAACAAAAATAGCAACCTATGCCGATGACACCGCCTTATATTCCCACTCCAGGGATCCTAAAATCGCCATACGATCCCTCCAACCGCACCTCCGGTTCCTTGAGAAATATTATTCCCTATGGAAAATCACCATCATCCCACAAAAATCCGAATCCATAGTTTTTACAAAAAGAAACCATCCTAACAGAATCCCTATCCCCCTAAAGATAACTAATTCAAACATCCCGATAAAAACCGATCTAAAGTACCTAGGAGTTACCCTCGATCAACGACTCACCTTTTCCAACCATATCAACAAGTCTACCCAAAAAGCTTCCTCCACCATCAAAACAATCTACTCCCTCATCTCACGCAATAGCCAATTATCATTCAAAAATAAAAAACTTCCTTCACATATGCCGCCCCCATATAGTCTAACTCCGCCGTACCTCATCTCCAAAAAATCCAAACCGCCCAAAACAAAGTTCTCCGTATTATTTCAAACTCCAGCAGATATATCTCCAACCGTTATCTCCACCACAAAACAAAAGCCCTCCCTATGAAACATATCCTAACAAAACACAACCAAAAATTCTACAAACCACACACCCCAACCCCCTAATAAAAAATATCACCAATAAAAACACCTCCACACACCCCAACCCCCTAATAAAAAACATCACCAATAAAAACACCCAAAATAACAAACACAAATTCCCTCATCAACGCAACAACCTCGACAAAATGCCCGACATCTTACCCCAAACAGAACAATAATAAATAATCATTAAAAATCAATAAACAATGTAATTAATAATTAAAATAAACAAATACACCCACACCCACTCCCCTTCCCATACACCCTGAATACTCCACAAAAATCACCCCGATAAGTTTTACCCACGGGGGCTGAAGACCGAAATCGACCAGAGTGACTGGAAGACAACGAAAAATGAAACAATATACATTTAAATACCTGCTGTACCTTCTTGTAATAAAAGTTTCAAATGTACCGTTTTTTATTTAGGCAATAGTTGTAGACTGTAAATATATTTATCCCCCTACAATCACCCTAATAAATAAATAATAAAAGATTTAAAAAGCATCCCGCTGATGATAAATCCCGTCTCGTTCTCCGTAGATTAAGTAGCAGTAAGCGTAATTTTAAGTAATTACTGTTATTGACACTTGTGGTTTACTATAACTAGAGCTCGGATTCTTCGGTACCTAAGTCCAGTCGACCAGTTCACGAATGTTGCGTTATTGACGAGCGACGCATAGCCAAGGTCCCGAGTTCACAGGTCTGCAGCGTTGTCATGGTAATCCATAGGCGCGCGTTAGCAAGGATCGGTATTAACGCTAAATAAGCAAGAAATTATGTACTTTATTATAATTTTTCTCGACTCCCAGTTCTTATTTGGTGAAATTTAATAATTGAATAATAATGACTTTTTCTAAATTTACTTCAGAAAATGACGACCTAACTCGACGTCACAACTGATAACTGGCACAAATGTAACTGCTAGAACTAACAGGCCATATTTAGAAGATATTTCTTGGTTGCAAAATGCTACATTGTTGTCAATTAATGTGAACGTATCGCCAAAAATCGCTATTAAGTGTGCCATTGGAATAAATTATAAAAACTAAAACAATAGGGTAACTCAGTTAATAAAAATCAAAATATTAACTATTAACAGAAGTAGTTTTAAATTATAAAACCTAAAACAACAAGGCACTTCTAATTAAAACAAATCAAGAAAATATTCGATGATAATTAAATAAAATATTCAATACACTCCGTTTGAAATTATAAAAACTGAAACAATAGTACAATTCTAATTCAAAAAATGATGGATTTAACAATAAATAAAAAGGATATTAAATGAATTGGTACTGAATTCTCTGAACGGAACACGGATAAATGCAGGCCTGGCATGCTTATAGATGTGTGAGCGATCGGAACGGTAGATCGCGCCCCATAGGTTCTGCGCTGTCGACGCTACTGAGACGGTACCGAAATATCCGAGCTTTGACTATAACAAATAAAATCTTATTTCATTTCATTTCATTCGGTTCTCGTCCGATCACCGAAGTTAAGCAATGTCGGGCGCGGTTAGTACTTGGATGGGTGACCGCTTGGGAACACCGCGTGCCGTTGCCTTTTTTTGTGTTATTACTATTATTTCTTTCGATAATTTATAACATAAATATAATAGCAGTTTTTGCCGTTTCAATCGTAAATTTAAGGATAACGTTACTTACTTAAACCGCTTCCGCTTATTACCTTTCGATTCGACACCTTTGTTGTAAATTCGTTTGTTTTCCGTGCGATTGTTTATGTATTTTATTATTTTATATTGTTAGTTTTAGGCTGTTATGGACGGAGAGGGACAAATAAAATATGTAGCGGTAAAATATTATTTAACATACCGTTTTTGTTTTTAAATTTTATTACAAATCAAAATATATTTATTTTAATAAATACATGTTGTTCCCAAAATCCCAAAATATCACCAACAGTAATAATAATAAAAATAATTCACTTTATTTCGCAACAAAGATCAATTATTACAGGACAATATTACAAGAAAAAAGTAAATACATGCTATAAAACAAATATAATTCACATAAAAACTCCTACCGAATTATTGATTGTTAGTTAGTATATCCAGTAACAAGAGAACAAAATGCTAAACGGAGTCGTGGCGAAATTCAGAAACTATCGTAAGGATACGAATACTAAAGATACCAACCATAATCAACGGAAACGTCACGAAGGAACGGTCGACTCAGGTATCAAACATGAGACGAAATCAACCATCATCGAAGAACGCAGAAAAGAAAGAATGTAAACGAAAAAAAAAATTTTTTTCCAAGTTCCTACTATTCAGTGGGAATGTAAAATCGGTTATCGCCCGGCGGTAATGTCCAAGCAAGCAGCCTAACACGTACACGAAACATCGACACCGTTCCGAGTAACGATAAAATTATATTAAATAAAATACGCGCGATTTTGCGAGGAGGATGTCCTCCGATGGTCGGTGGACGTCCTCCGGCCGCCGCGCGCGGTGTTTAAATTTTAAAGATCGTACTATTCAGTGGGAAATGGTTTTATACTAAGAAGGATGCTATACGCGACCCTTGTGTCTCAAATTGGCTTTTCGCCTCGTTCTCGGGCGCAAGGCTTTCTCTGTCGACGTCGTCGTTTGGGACGGACGAACGAACGACCGTTCACACGAAACCCAACGACTCTTCTTCTACTTTCAATAGTAGAAGTGGTCGTCTTAAGCGTGTTTCGTTGTTAGAGCGCATCGATAGCAGTAGTACCTGGCTTTTAATATTTATTTATTTTCGACCATAAACTACACATACAACGAGCTCTCTTCTCTCATACAAATTTTGTCGTTTATTATGTTTAATGTTGGTCGGTCGGTCGCCCACTGTCCCTCTCGACGACGACGTTTCCTTGTATTATTTTTCATTAAAGAAAAATAATAAATATAAACGTACGAAAGAGAACCGCCGGAAGCCGTCCGCCCGTACGCGACTGAGGACCTCGTCTAACCGACAAGACGAATCCCCAAGCGAAGGGCCGAGTCTCAATAGCCTCACAACCCAACCTCGCCAGGTACGTATAGAAAGCCGTCTCTACGGACACAATTTCAAGTTTCAAAATCGAACTGTTAAAGTAGGTACTATTCAGAGGGATAGTAGATATGGTCGAACGAACGTCCACAAACAAGGTTGTGTAACCGCCCGGCTATAACTTTAATTATTTTTGACAAAAAAAAAAAAGAGGCACGTTACTACATCTATAACGTCGAATATTCTTTAATTAAATATTTGAACGTATAGTGTAGAACGTGCGCTCTTATGCGTTCGTAGTATTTTTGTCGAACTATTATTATTAATAGTCGTTCGTTCGGTCGGTCGGTCGGTCGGTCACAGTCCCTCTCGACGTTTCCTGGTATTATTATTTTTTTAAATAAAAAAAAATAAATAGAAACGTACAAAAGAGAACTGGCCGCCCCCGTACGCGACTGAGGACCTCGTCTAACCGACAAGACGAATCCCCAAGCAAAGGGCCGAGTCTCAACAGATCGCAGCGTGGTAACTGCTCTACCGAGTACAACACCCCGCCAGGTACGTAAGTCGTCTACAGACAATTCCAAG